AACTCCGAGACTGGCCTCGGCGCTCGGGCCTTCCTGGCGGCCGTCCCGTCCGGGCGTACCCGACTTGAGCCAGCGGTTTTCTCGGCTGAGCTGCCCTTCCGGCTGGGAGTTCCTGATGCTGTCCACGACTGTTGGTGCCCACTCTGTGATGGTGTGCTGGACCGCCATAGCCATCATGCAGCAACCTGTGTCGCTGGAGGAGAGCGTACCCTTCGCCACAATGCTGTGAGAGACGTGCTCTTCACTTGGCTGGACAGGGCAGGCCTCCATCCCGAGAAGGAACGTCCTGGCTTATTGCTTCCGCAATCTCCAGAAGACACTCATTCGTCTGCCAGGCGGCCAGCCGACATCTACGTGCCATCTTTGTCAGGGTCTCCCACCGCACTTGATTTCGCCATTACGGCGCCTCAGCGGCAGGAGACCTTGGCCTTGGCTGGCCAGCAGGTTGGGGCGGCTGCTGCCGCTTATACCCGGCACAAGCAAAATCACCAACAGACTGCGCTGACCTGTGCTGCTCAGAGGGGTCGCTTTTGTCCCGATGGTGGCTGAAGCAACAGGCACCTGGGACTCGGGCGCTGCAGCCGTTATCAAGCACGTGGCGCGGGCTGTGGCGGCCCGTGCTGGTGAGGAGCCTGGCCCGCTTCACTCCCTCTTGCTCCAAGAGCTCTGCGTGGCTGTGCGCTCCCATCGAGCCAAAGCGGCCTTGAGGAGGCGGCTGGCGCCCCAGTGTAGAGGGAGCGGAGTCGGGAATGAGCAGGGCATCATCATTCTCGATTCGCGGCCCTGCTTCAACAGCACTGTGCGAGAGGGAACATAGGGGAGCGCTGCGTTCGGGAGGACCCGGCGTAGGGAGAGCGGAGGGGTGGACGAGCGCAGCTTCGTCTTCCACTCGCGGTTCTCCGCTGCTGTAGAGCTGGCCACTGTAAAGCTGCGTGCGGGAGTACCCAGCGTAGTAGAGGCGGGGTGCTGGACCGAACTGGCTGGTCTTGCTCCCGTGGCCTCCTGTACTTTACCGTTTTGTTTCCGGGATGCAGGGCTTTTCTCCCACAAGTGGTTTTTTCCCTGCATCTGATGCAAAGTGTTAGTGTTCGTCGATGACGATCTACACTCCTGTTTTCTCCCTACAATCAGTTCATCTTGTGGCTGTCAGGTTGGGCTTCAGGGGCACCGGTGGGAATCCCCTGCCATCCTCAGCATCCCAGCCTGGGTTTCATCTTGTAGGTCAGGCGACTTTCTCCTCAAACACAATGTGGAATTTTCAATCATCACGCACGAAGAGCTGCTGCACCTCTACGAGCCGTTTGCCGAGTTCCTCCTCAGCACGTTTGAGGTGCCTGCGGAATGGACCGACGGCAGACAGCGCAGCAGGAGCCGTTCGCGGTGAGTATGCCAAGAAACGCCACTGTTCGGTGGCATGAGTTTTCAAAGTGCTATGCCATGTTCGTCCTGGCAAGCGCACAAACAGAATTGCGCAACCCAGGGCCTGTTCTTCTGTCATTTTTGTTGCATGGCAGAGTTTGCCCAATTCAGTGTTGCACAGCTGACCGAGCTTGTCCAGGATTTGACGGCAGCGGTGCAGCAACCATGCTTCATGAACCTCCAAGCCGTCATTGAAGGAGCTTCCCGAGGTTTTGAGGCGTGATGTGGGAGTTTCCGAAAACAGGGGACCCTAAAAAAGTACCCTAAATAGTAGGATCCTTGTTACAAGGACCCCAAATAAGGTACCCCTAGTTTTCGGAAACTCCCATGTCGTCTTCTTGTGCACAATGGTTTGCAGACGGCCAGCCTGTGTTGGCGCTGCTCGTGAACGGCCGGGTGGCGGCAAGCCACATGCATCACGGAGGAGAGGCGAAGTTGGCGTTAATGCTGTCTTTGGCGGTGGAGAACAGGAGCCATTCCATCCGCCCTTCCGTAAAATTGTCGTTGACGGAGTCGATACACTTTGGGGTTTCGTATCTAATGAATCCTTACCCAGCTTTTTCCAGCCCAGCAGCACGAAAGGCCGTAAATCATGCAGAAACGAGGATCCGAGACGCTTAAGCGCATACATCCTAAACCCTGCACCCTGAACGCCACAGACCAACAAATCCCAAACCCTAAGTCCTAGAACCCCAGAATACCTTTGGTCACCACTTGTATCAGGATACCATAATCAGGAACCGTAAAAAGGCTGTTCATGCCGAACTCAGGTGTTTGATTGCCAAGCCCTAGGGCCCAGGGTTTAGGATCTAGGGTTCCGGGTAAGGGTTTAAGATCTATCTAGGGTTTAGGCTTCAGGGTAAGGATTTAGGATTCAGGGCTGAAGATCTACATTGCTACACCTGCACGATTGGATTTGTCACGAGCAGTCTGTTTGCAAAGTGGCATGCCTTATTATCTTCACTTGCTGCAACCGGTTTAGGTTTTAGGGCTTAGGGTCTTGCTTCAACCAGCTTCGCAGCTGAGGGTTAAGTCTACCGGTTGAGGCGGGTCTACTTAGCGTTGTGATTTGAACTCTTTGTGGCTGTTGTTGGTAGTCCGATGGGTGTTGGGCATCTTGCTGGTAGTCTGATTGCTTCGCTTCGTTGAGTTGTGTATGTGTGTGTATATGCAGGTAGAACTCATCCTTGTCTACTCTGGTGCCACACCAGATGATGCCGCGCAGCGGCTTAGTTGCAAAGTCGGGTTCAGGGTTTGATCTATAGCGAGGTTGGATGCGTACGGGGTTCCGTAAGCTTCTGAGACGCTACTTTTTTGTGCATCTCCGCTTGTTCGACTCCTTGCGAGCAAGGCAACTAAAACACATGACCGGATCCCCCAGGGTGCAGATCCCAGAAATGTGCGTGCTTGAACTTCTTCAATTGACCAAGGGCTCCACTTACCTAAACACTGGGATACTGGGTTAAATCTTGTATGGTTTAGTGACCCACTATTTAGGCAATTAGAGCCCTAGACTTGTTTGCTGGGAATCAGAACGTCTTAGGTCGCCGCAAGCACCAAGCCGGCGATCGGAACCCCTTATGGGAGGTTTTGGCTTAGACTTCAGGAAGCCAACAGCAGAACCGGCGACAACAGCAGCTACTAACACCGCTTGCTAGTTCTACGGTACCTCAGGATTCCTCTAAAGGGTTACTACAAGGGTACCATAAGGGTCCCTATAAAGGGTCATTATAATGGGACCTATAAGGGTTCCTTGAAAGGTCACTACAAGGGTACTACAAGGGTTCTTTTAAAGGGTCACTAAAGGGTCACTATACGGGGTACTATAAGGGTTCCCAGGTTTATAGGGTTTAGGGTGTATAGTAAACAGAGGATGAGGGTTTCGGATGAAGGATTCTAGGTTTAGGGTTTAAGGTTTAGGGTTTAGGGTCTAGGATTATAGTAAACCCCATAAAGTTGGAAACCGGATGTAGGCCAAAGTAGTGTTGGGATTCCCTATATTATTACGCTTAAGGATCGAGGCTATTGGGTTTCCAAGTTTTGGGCTTCTAAGTGGCATTTGAAATAGTAGCCTTACATGGTCGGAGTGGACGTGTTTATTTGCGCCGTGCTTGGAGGAGGCTGTCATGAATTGTGGATGACCTAAACTGGTCGGGGATGGGGGTAGTACTGATGCAGGGGTCTGAGTTTAGTTAGCACTTATTATGTCCTCGAACTCCATGTGGGTGGTTGTCAAAATTAGGGTCCCTTTTTGGGGTACCCTAAATGAAAGGTGCCGTATTTTAATAGGGACCCAATTTTGACAACCGCCCATGTATAGACACGCCAGAACGATTCCAGAACCATTTTATCATCGTCAAGGCCCCTAAACCCTAAACCCAATAGTACTTTCATTCCATGCAAGCTCCTCCTGTTTTGGGCCCAGGAAAGTGGTCGACTTCTACAATGGTGGCTCGCCCCAGACGACCGATGAGTGTTGAGAAGTCCCTACACAGGTTCCTTTTAGAATTTGTTGATGATGCTGGTTCCTTAGAGGATTTGTGTCGTAGGGCTTTCGGATGGTAGGGTTGTGAGGCCCGGCCCGTTAAACCGCAAACTTGCAACTTTTCGCACCAACTCCTGGATCCTAAACTTCACTCGACTTCAATCTCCACCGCAACTCGCAAGGCTTAGAATGTGTCGCTCCTTTTGCTCCGGCCCTTGCACCAAAGATCTGCGAACCAAGCAAATCCTAAACCCTAAACCCCGGTAATAAATGTAACAAGCCCTATGCAAACCCTAACTCTAAGCCCTAAACTCTCTTCACGCTATGTGAACCTAAGCCCACAGCCCCTAAACGCTAGAGCCCTAAGCTCCTAAACCTCAAACCCCTAAGCCCTAAACCGAATCTCCTTAGCCCCTAAAGACCTGCACCTGTAAGCCCTAAATCCCCACATAAACCCTACAACCCAGGAAATCCCAAACAGATCCCTTATAGATCCTTTGATAGATCCCTTCTGTCTACATCCCTGTAAAGGAACCCTAGGCCCTGAACCCCCAAAACCCAGGAAATCCTACTTTCGTTCACGCGCTTGTCAACACCTTCCAGCAGCTTCCAGATCTCGAATTTGGCGCCGATTCAGCGAGGGTTTAGGGTTTAGGGTTCGCAGGGCCGTAGGGTGAGGATTTCGGCTGTGTAGGGTTGGTTTGAGATTTGTAGGGTTTGGGGTTTAGGTTTCGTAAGGTGAGTTAGGGCTTTGCGGGTTTAGAGTTTACGGCAGGTTAAGGGTTTGGGGGTATAGGGCTCAGAGGGTGTAGGCAGTGTGGGGGTTGCTTTCGTTGTGTTTTGATAATTGTCTTGGTTCATGGCTGCGACACCCAGCCCATGGCTTTGACAATACCATAGGGCCTAAATAATTGCCAATACTCTATTTTGCGGGGTCCTTATTATAACTACGTATGGCTATAATGTGCCCCAAAGCAATTAAGGCCCCTCGACCCTAACCCTAAACCCTAAACCTTGTTCTAAGTATTAAGGCACCCACATCACCTGCCATGCGCAATGCGCCAGCCCAAGGTTTAATGTGGCTGTTAACGACGCGATGCGGGAGATTCTCGGCTCAATTCGCAGGTACCATGGTGGACGGGGGTTTAGGTCAGGGTCGAGGGTTTTGCAATGAGTTGCATCATCCATGTGGTAGTACTCCTTGTAGCAAGCCTTCCGTCAGTGACCCTTCGGGGGTTCATACTGTTGATGACATAAATCCTGCATTACCCATAATGAGGAATATACCATCATTCCCATAGTCTAGAGTCCTTAAGGTAATGCAGGATTTATATCATCAACCGTAGAACCCTAAAGCAGGGCTTGGGTGGCTTGGGGTTCAGAGGCTATGCTCACTGTGCGGGGAAGGCGCAATCGTCAACCACGGTTTAGGGTTTAGGGTTTAGGGGGGTTTAGGCGCTTCCTGTCGTAGACGAGTCAATAAACGAAGTATTCGGACACCCATCGCACAACTGCCGAAAGATCACCGCAAATTTTCAAGCCCTCGCAACTCTCAGGTTTGTGCAATGTATAATATAATGTCTATGCCATAGATCCTGTAGTAGATTTTATCGTGTAAATATTATGGCAGGCTGTCGGATGTGTTTTTGGGATTTTGCTCGTCGATTTCGGGGTTCCAGGTATGACGGTATTACACTGAACCCGAAGCAGAGTGTCAGCTCTGCTTGTGTGCGGAGAAACATGCAAGGAATACTTGCACAATATCTTACTGGAGGCTGATCCCAAACCCTAAACCGAGGACTAGGGTTGCAACTACCTTACAGTGTTTGGAGGAGGGGAATAGTCATGATTCTGGCCGTAAACCTGGACAGGATTTGCACATCCCACCCCTATGCCCCTTTGACTCGACAATACTGATAGTCATTGATATTATTCGTAGAACTGATATCCTTGAACTGACAAGGAACAACGTTCAGAAGACGCTGATTCATTGCAGCGGCGGAACTCCGGCGCAGTGGCATGGTTGCAGTATACCGGACAAGGTGAGACCTCA